AACATCTTCCTCAGCAGACACCATCATCTCTCATGGGTATCCCTCAAAAATCCTATGCCCTATGTGTCCAGAGTCACACCTTCTAAAAATAAAAATGCAAATAGCCTTGTTCTGGGCCAGCACTGCCCACCCCAGGTATACCTGTTATCTTGCTGTCCTCTCAGATCTAAGTCATTGCCGGAGACACCTTCATCTGCTGGCTGGTCTCTTCAGAGAAAGAAAAGTGCAGTGATTAATGTGACTGGGAGATCCGTGGTAGTGACACTGGTATCTTCCAATCGCTCACCAATCCTGTAGTACAACTTAAGTTTTGTCTAACATACCAACCTGGAAAGTCAATATGGTTGCTAGTGCAGGTACAGTCCCAAGAATTGCTTACCTGACTCCCGGTAAACAAGTCATGATAACAATGAGTGTGAGGACACATCACCACTTATCCGCATATGAGAAATGACACCCGTTACCCGCCATGAACTTCATCGTCATCTTATCTTCATGAGACCCTGAAAAACACACAAGATGCGTGTGAAAACACAGAAGTTTGTGTAGCGGGACACCCCCGATAAGCTGTGACACTTCCTTCTTTAAGACACCATCAACCCTGCCTGAATGCTTTGCGGAACTCAAAGGTTCCGACCATAGTCAGATATGACAACATTACATCACGGAACACCAGCAACCTTCCTATGGTTAGTGCTGTGATTCGGCCAATTATGATCAGAACCTGCATACAGACATCCCTCATCCCTCCCAGGGACAAAGGAAAATGTTCTCTAAAGTATCACGTGAAAAACCTGCATCTTGGTAGATTTCTGAGGACTAACATTTCCTCCCTGAATACCTGCAAAGAAGAGAGGGTCACCTCAATTTTGTTAGGAAAAGCATCAGCGCTCACCTATTGATCCGCAGATCAGAGGGCTCATGCCGTGGTTGAAGCCACATCACCACTTACCTGTATAATAACCAAGTCCTTTATTCCAGTGCAACGTAAAATCATGGTCATTTCATCACAGGAACCTGAAAGTCATGAAACGTCTGTAAATGACAAATCTTTCCCCACCAGGACACCAATAGCGATAGTCCACTATGAGACACATCAACTCTTCCAGATAAGAGTAGTTACCAAGAGTCGACAATACTGTCACGAAAGCGTCTCTTTGGGATTGTACACCTGAGAAAAGCCTACGATCAGTACTGCGGGTTGGCAAGCCAGGATAAGTACCAGTGTGCCCGCAATCCTCAAAAGTGCACAGTAGAATACATGATCCTTCTCTGAAATAGAAAATTTGAAACTCCTATTAAAAAGGATTGGCAAGGATACCATCATTTCCTACCGAAATGCTTGCAAGGGAATAATGGCGACAACGAGGGCTAGTACATGGCATCACTTACCAAGACATGTGAGCATCACATGGTCTATGCTGGGATTTTGTAGGGGGAGGTTGGAGGACTGTCTGATACTGCGAGCTGTAGTTACCACAGTACCAGAGAGTCATCTATCCTCCCCCTACAAACATGGTAGTTAACACGACTATTAAGAGCCTCCTGTTCACTTAACCTCACCTTGAGTATCAAATGATTTGCACAGCCTTAGGACCCCCTTGAACACTTACCAGGTTTAGACGTAGGTTCCATAGTGACCATAGTTAGCTCACCCAGTTCAATGGCTTAGGCTGGGGACTCCTGACCATTACCTGGATACTTGTAGATGTCAATGACACTTTTTAGTCATCAAGAGATATCCGCAAACATTCCATGGCCATTAATGTGGAGACAGACCATGGAAGAAGTTACGTGGAAAGTCTACCTATCTAATGCTATCTATCAGTACTGCTGGTTGGCAACCAGGATAAGTACCAGTGTGCCGGAATTCCTCGAACATGCACAGTCGGAAACTTCAACCTTCTCTAACAAAGTAAATGTTAAACTCCTACTTAAAAGGATTGGCAAGGAATCCATCATTTCTTACCTGAATCTCTGCAAGGGAATCATGACGACAATAAGAGTAAGCACATGGCCTTACTTACCTATACATGGGGGCATCACATGCTCTGTGCTGCGCTTCTGTAGGGGGAGGAGGGCGCCATGGGTGGTACTTTGGGCAACTATTATCTCAGTACCACACATGGCACCAACCTCCGCCTACAAACATAGTAGTTAACACAAGTGTTAAGAGCATCCTCGTCACTTAACATCACGTAAGCATCAGATGATTTGCACAGCGGCAAGACCCATTTGATCACCTACCAGGTTTAGACGTAGGTTCCCAGAACGACCATACTTAGCACACCGAGTTCTACTAGAACCTGGAGAAACGTATGTGACAGAAGTGTTTAGGCTCCATGGCATCTAGTCCGCAACCTAGAAAACACAGGACGCCCTATGTGTCCAGAGTCACACCTTCTAAATATAAAAATGCAAATAGCCTTGTTCTGGGCCAGCACTGCACACAACAGGTATACCTGTCATCTCGCTGTCCTCTCAGATCTAAGTCACTGCCAGAGACACCTTCATCTGCTGGCTGGTATCTTCAGATAAAGAAAAGTGCAGTGATTAATGTGACTTGGGAGATCCATGATAGTGACACTGAAATCTTCCAATCGCTAAGGAATCCTGTAATTCAAATTAAGTTTTCTCTAACATGCCAACCAGGATAGCCAATATGGTTGCTAGTGCCGGTAGATTCCCTAGAAGTTCTAACCTGACGCCCGGTAAACAGGTCAGGATAACAATGAGTGTGAGGACACATCACCACTGATCCGCATATGAGAAATGTCCCTGTTAACCGCCATGAACTTCATCGTCATCTTATCACAAGACCCTGAAAAACACACAAGAAGATACGTGTGAAAACACTGATGTTTGTGTAGTGGGACACCCCTTTAAGCTGCGACACTTCCTTCTCTAAGACACCATCAACTCTGCCTGAATGCTTTACGGAACTCAAAGATTCCGACCATCGTCAGATATGAAAACATTACACCACGGGACACCTGCAACTTTTCCATGGTTAGTGCTGTGGTTCAGCCTATTATTATTAGGACCTGTATACCAAATCCCTCATCCCTCCCAGGAATAAAGAGACATGTTCTCTAAAATATAACATGAATAACCTGCACCGTATTATAGTGCTGAGGACTACCATTTTCTACCTTTCATGATGTTTTTGTTGTGGACTTGTAGGCTTGTATCTGTAGAGTCCCAAAAAAGAGTGGGTCACCTCGATATTTTTGGGAAAAACATCAGTGCTCACCTAGCGATTTAAAGATCAGAGGGCTCATGTTGTGGTTGAAGCCCACATCACCACTTACCTGCATAACAGCCACGTCCTTCATTCCAGGGCGAACCTTTCCCCACCAGGACAAAGGTAAGCAACTTCGTCCATTAAGAGACAATTCAACTCTACCAAGATACGTGTAGTTACCCATAGTTGACATCACTGTCACAAACGCGTCACTCTGGGTTGGATACCTGTGAAAAGCCCATGATCAGTACTGCTGGTAGGCAACCAGAATAAGTACCAGTGTGCCGGAATTCCTGGAATAGGCACAGTCGGAAACATAAACCTTCTATAACATAGTAAATATTAAACTCCTACTTAAGCATATTGGCAAGGAATGCGTCATTTCTTACCTGAATCCCTGCAATGGAATCATGATGACAATAAGTGTAAGCACATGGCATTACTTACCTAGACATGTGGGCATCACATGCTCTGTGCTGCGCTTCTGTAGGGGGAGGAGGGCGCCATGGCAGGTACTGTGGGCAGCCATTACCTCAGTACCACACATGCTGCCAACCTCCCCCTGCAGACATGGCAGTTAACACAAGTGTTAAGAGCATCCTCTGCACTTAACCTCACCTTTACTATCAAATGATTTGCACCATGGCAAGATCCACTAAATTGTTTACCAGGTTTAGAGGCAGGTTCCCGTAACAACCATAGTTAGCTCACCCACTTCTCCTCATAAGAATCTGAAGAAACTCATGTGACAAAACAGTTTAGGACCGCAACTTGTTTTACGACCCTATTGTCCAACAATTCTTTTCACTTCCATTATGTGGAAACACACCAACTCAACCTTGAAAACTCTATTAAATCAGGTCAAAATTTTACTCAGCAGACATCATCATCTCTCATGGGTATCCCTCAAAAAATCCTATGGTTACTAGCTCTTTTGGGAATGCCACGGTACTCACTAGATATCATACCCCCAGGACACTCAGCATTAAACATGACTGATGTCTGAAAGAGAAAAGGTAAAAATGCATGGTAATTACCTGACCACCTGCAACAAAGGGGTTGAACCAGGAAGTGTTAGGTACACTGTCATTGCTTTCTTAGGAACATGACGATTGGATGGTCTGCCCTGTGGAGCAGGCCCACGGCACCCCTGACGCCAATATCTACTCGATGCCTGCATAACTACTGTGGAGAGGCTTTCCTGGGATGGTCTCTGCGTGACCTAAGGACACACTGTGGGAAATGGGTGGCATACACGTCTTAGACTACCTAGACAACTGTACATTGCCTTGGTCCAAGGATTTGGTTGGAGACTCATGACCATTACCTGGATCTTGTAGATGTCGATGACACCTTCTTCTCACCAAGAGTTACTGGCAAACATTCCACAGTCATTAATGTGGAGATGGACCATGGGAGAACTGATCTGGAAGTCTACCTATGAATCTATCAGTATCGGGCATAAAGGCAATCTCTGAGCAGGGAGAAGGCAACAGAGCATGCTCACTAGGAGTGCTTGGGTCAAATGGATTCTGAACTGCCTACAAGTCCAAAAGACACACATTATGAAATCCCAAAAACATCATTATTCACATCCATCATGTTCTCATGAGTGACTGTCACAGAATCTTCTACCTAAGACTTCACGGGTCAGCTGCAACACAGTAACATGGTCTTAGCGAAACCATACACACTTACCTAGACATCTGAAGGTCAGATGGTCAGTATGATGCATAAGGCACACGTCATCACTTACCTGGATTCAAGCTCCATCCAAGCAACGGTCATCATGAAGTTCACCATGGTATGTAGACCACAACCTGGAAAACACAGGATGCCATTGGTGTCGAGACTCACACCTTCTAAAAATAGAAACTGCAAATAGCTGGGTTCTGGCCACCACTGAACACCCCAATTCTACCTGGTATCTCACAGTGCTCCCAGATCTATGCCATTGCCGGAGACACCTTCATCTGCTGGCTGGTCCCCTCAAAGAAACAAAAATCCACAGAATAATGTAGCTAGGGAGATCTGTGGTAGTAACTCTGATATCTTCCAATAGCACAGCAATCCTGTAGATCAACTTAAGTTTTGTCTAACATACCAAATTGGAGATTCAATATGGTTGCTAATACCTACAGAGTCCTGGAAATTCTTACCTGACTCCTTGTAAAGAAGTCATGGTAACAGTGGGTGTAAGCACACATCACCACTTATCAGCATATGAGAAATGTACCCTGTTAACTGCAGGAACTTCAATATCATCTCTTCTTCACAAGACCCTGATACACTCTAGATATGTGTGAAAAAACGGATCTTTGTGTAGCAGGACACCCCAGAATAGCTGCGACACTTCCCTCTGTAAGTCACCATCAACCATGCCTGAATGCTTCGTGGAAGTGCAAGGTCTGGACCATGGTCAGATATGACAACATTTCACCACGGGACACCTTCAGCCTTTCCATGGTTACTGCTGTGGTTCAGCCTATTATGATTAGGACCTGTATACCAAATCCCTCATCCCTCCCAGGAATAAAGAGACGTGTTCTCTAAAATATCACATCACATGAATAACCTGCACCCTGCTATATTGCTGAGGACTATCATTTTCTACCTTTCATGATGTTTGTCTTGTGGACTTGTAGGCTAGTACCTGTAGAGTTCTAAAAAAAGAGTGGGGCACCTCGATATTTTTGGGAAAAACATCAGCGCTCACCTAGCGATCTGCAGATCAGACGGCTCATGTTGTGGTTGAAGCCCACATCACCACTTACCTGCATAACAGCCATGTCCTTCGTTCCGGGGAAAACCTTTCCCCACCAGGACACAGGTAAGCAACTTTGTCCACTAAGAGACAATTCAACTCTACCTGGATACGTGTAGTTACCCATAGTTGACATCACTGTCACAAACGCGTCACTCTGAGTTGGATACCTGTGAAAAGCCTATGATCAGTACTGCTGGTGGGCAACCAGAATAAGTACCACTGTGCCTGAATTCCTGGAACATGCACAGTCAGAAGCATAAACCATCTCTAACATAGTAAATATTAGACTCCTACTTAAGCGTATTGGCAAGGAATGTGTCATTTCTTACCTGAATCCCTATAATGGAATCATGATGACAATAAGTGTAAGCACATGGCATTACTTACCTAGACATGTGGGCATCACATGCTCTGTGCTGCTCTTCTGTAGGGGGAGGAGGGCGCCATGGGTGGTACTGTGGGCAGCTATTATCTCAGTACCACACATGGCACCAACCTCCACCTACAACCATAGTAGTTAACACAAGTGTTAAGAGCATCCTCCTCACTTAACGTCACGTAAGCATCAGATGATTTGCACAGTGGCAAGACCCATTTGATCACCTACCAGGTTTAGAGGCAGGTTCGCAGAACGACCATACTTATCTCACCGAGTTCTCCTAAAATCTGGAGAAACATATGTGACAAAAGTGTTTAGGCTCCATGGCATCTAGTCCGCAACCTGGAAGACACAGGATGCCCTATGTGTCCAGAGTCACACCTTCTAAATATAAAAATGCAAATAGCCTTGTTCTGGGCCAGCACTGCACACAACAGGTATACCTGTCATCTCACAGTCCTCTCAGATCTAAGTCACTGCCAGAGAAACCTTCATCTGCTGGCTGGTATCTTCAGAGAAAGAAAAGTGCAGTGATTAATGTGACTTGGGAGATCCGTGGTAATGACCCTGATATGTTCCAATCACTCAGCAATCCTGTAGTTCTACTTAAGTTTTCTCTAACATGCCAACTTGGAGAGTCAATATGGTTGCTAGTGCCGGTAGAGTCCCTAGAAGTTCTAACCTGACGCCCGGTAAACAAGTCATGATAACAATGAGTGTGAGGACACATCACCACTTATCCGCATATGAGAAATGTCACTGTTACCCCCCATGAACTTCATCGTCATCTTATCATCACAAGATCCTGAAAAACACACAAGATACATGTGAAAACACAGAAATTTGTGTAGCGGGACACCCCTGTAACCTGCAACACTTCCTTCTCTAAGAAACCATCAACCCTGCCTGAATGCTTTGAGGAACTCAAAGATTCCGATCATTGTCAGATATGACAACATTACACCACGGGACACAGGCAACCTTCCCATGGTTAGTACTGTGATTCGGCCTATTATGATCAGAACCTGCATGCAGCAATCCCTAATCCCTTTCAGGGACAAAGAAAAATGTTCTCTAAAGTATCATGTGAAAAACCTGCAGCTTGCTAGGCTGCTGAGGACTATCATTTTCTACCTGAATACCTGCAAAGAAGAGAGAGTCACCTCGATTTTTATGGAAAAAGCATCAACGCTCAACTAGCGACCCGCATATCAGAGGACTCATGCTGGGGTTGAAGCCCACATCACAACTTATCTGTATAATAACAAAGTCCTTTCTTCTGGGGCAACGTAAAATCATGGTCATTTCGTCACAGGAACCCGAAAGTCATGAAACGTCTGTAAATGACATATCTTTCCCCACCAGGACACCAATAGTGACCTCCTCCACTATGAGACACATGAACTCTACATGGATAAGTGTAGTCACCAAGAGTCGACAACACTGTCATGAACGGGTCACTTTGGGATTGTACACCTCAGAAAAGCCTATGATCAGTACTGCGGGTTGGCAAGCCAGGGTAAGTACCAGTGTGCCTGCAATCCTCAAACGTGCACAGTAGCATACGTGATCCTTCTCTGAAATAGAAAATTTTAAACTCCTATTTAAGAGAATTGGCAAGGAATCCATCATTTCTTACCTGAATCCCTGCAATGGAATCATGGCGACAACGAATGTAAGTAATAAGCATTACTTACCTAGATATGTGGGCATGACATGGTCTGTGATGTGCTTTTGTAGGGCAAGGAGGGCGACATGGCTGGTACTGTGGGCAGCCATTACCTCAGTAGCAGCAATGTCGCCAACCTCCGCCTACAAACATGTTAGTTAACACCAGTGTTAAGAGCATCCTCTTCACTTAACCTCAACTTGAGTGTCAGATGATTTGCACAGCGGCAAGACCCACCTGACCACCTACCTGGTATAGAGGCTGATTCCCATAACGACCATTGTTAGCTCACTGAGTTCTCCTCACAAGAATCTGAAGAAACACATGTGACAAATGTATTTAGGACCACAGCTTGTTTTACGACCACACCTGCCAACAATGCTTTTCACTTCCACTGTGATGAAAAATACCAACTCAACCTTGATAACTCTATTAAATCAGGTCAAACTCTTCCTCAGCAGACACCATCATCTCTCATGGCTATCCCTCAAAAAATCCCATGGCAACGCCAGGGTACTCCCATGGGAACACCAGGGAACTCACCCGATATCATCCAGCCATGACACTCAGCAATGAACATGAATTATGTCGGAAGGAGGAAAGGTAAAAATGCATGGTAATTCCCTGACCCCCTGCAACAAAGCAATAAATCCAGGAAGTTTTAGGTACAGTCATCTTTTCCTTAGGAACATGAAGATCAGCTGGCCTGTGCTGCGTTGTAGGCCCACTTCATCCCTGACCCCAATACCTCCTGGATGCCTGCATAACGACCGTGGATAGGATTCCCGGGGATAAACTCACCATGACCTGAAAGAAACACTGTGGGAAATGGGTGGCATAGACATCTTGGGCTACCTAGACAACTGCACATTGCCTTGGTCAATGGCTTTTGGGTGGAGACTCATGAGCATTACCTGGATCTTGTAGATGTCAATGACACCTTCTTCTCACCAAGAGGTACTGGCAAACATTCCATGGTCATTAATGTGGAGAAGGACCATGGGAGAAATGACCTGGGAGTCCACCTATCAATCTATTAATACAGGGGCATAAAGGAAATCCGTGAGTAGAGAGACGGCAACAGCCCATGCTCATTAGGATTGCCTGAGTCTAATGGAGTCTGAAGTGCCTACAGGCGCAAAACAGACTCACTATGGAGTCACAAACACATCATTATTCACATCATTCATGCTCTCATGAGTGACTGTCACAGAATCTCATACCTGAGTACTAGGAAGGACTTCACGGGTCAGCTGCAAAACATTAAAACAGACTTAGCGAAACCATACACACTTACCCAGACATCTGAAGGTCAGATGGTCTGTAGGATGCATAAAGCACATGTCATCACTTACTCGGATTCTGGCACCGTCCCAGCAATGGTCATCATGAAGTTCACCATGGTATCTAGACCGAAACCTGGAAAAAACAGGATGCCATAGGGGTCCAGAGTCACTCTTTCTAAAAATAGAAACTGCATATAGCCATGTTTGGGCCACCACTGCATACCCCAACTCTACCTGGGATCTCGCAGTCCTCTCAGATCTATACCATTGCCAAGGACACCTTCATCTGATGGCTGGTCCCCTCAGAGAAAGAATAATCCAGTGATTAATGTGACCCTGGGAAATCCGTGGTAGTTACCCTGATATCTTCCAATCGCTCAGCAATCCTGTATCCAACTTAAGTTTTGTCTGACGTACCAAACTGGAGATTCAATATGGTTGCTAGTGCCTGTAGGGTCCCTAGAATTTCTTACTGACTCCCGGTAAACACGTCATGGTAACATGAGTGTGAGGACACATCACCACTTCTCCTCATATAAGAAATGTTCCCCCTAAACCGACAGAATCTTCAACATCTCTTCTTCACAAGAACTGAAAAACACACAAGATACATCTTAAAAAACAGAACTTTGTGTAGCAGGACACGCCAGATTAGCTTTGAAACTTCCTTCTATAAGACACAATCAACCCTGTCTGAATACTTTGTACAACTCCAAAGTACGGACCATGGTCAGACATAACATTACATCACGGGACACCTGCAACCTTTCCATGGTTAGTACTGTGGTTCGGCATATTATGATTAGGACCTTCATACAGCAATCCCTCCTCCCTCTCAGGGATAAAGAAAAAAGTTCTCTAAAATACCACATGAATGACCTATGGCTTGCTAGACTGCTGAAGACTATCATTTTCTACCTGAATACCTGCAAAGAAGAGTGTGTCACCTCGATATTTTTGGGAAAAACATCAGCGCTCACCTAGTGATCTGCAGATCAGAGGGCTCATGCTGTGGTTGAAGCCCAGATCACCACTTACCTGCATAACTGCCACGGCCTTCGTTCCGTGACAAACCTTTCCCCACCAGGACACAGGTAAGCAACCTCGTCCATTAAGACAAAGTTCAACTCTACCTGGATACCTTTAGTTACCCAGAATGGACATCACTGTCACAAATGCGTCACTCTGGGTTCGTGTTCGGCAAACTGCGGCTCGCAAGCAATGCGGCTCTATGGCCCCCTGAGTGTGGCTCTTCCTAAGCCTTAGGAGCACCCTAATTAAGTGAATAACAATATACCAACCTATATAGTTTAAGTTTAAAAAATTTGGCTCTCAAAAGAAATTTCAATCGTTGTACTGTTGATATTTGGCTCTGTTGAGTAATGAGTTTGCTGACCACTGCTTTGAGTTGAATACCTGTGAAAAGCCTATGATCAGTACTGTGGATTGGTAACCAAGATAAGTACCAGTGTGCCTGAATTCCTGGAATATGCAAAGTAGGAAACGTAAACCTTCTCTAAAATAGGAAATTTTAAAGTCCTACTTAAGACAATTGGCAAGAAATCCAGCATTTCTTACCAGAATCACTGCAATAGAATCATGGCGACAACAAGTGTAAGCACCCGGCGTTACTTACCTAGACACGTGGGCATCACATGGACTGTGCTGCGCTTTTGTAGGGGGAGGAGGGCGACATGGCTGCTACTGTGGGCAGCCATTACCTCAGTAGCAGTGATGTCGCCAACCTCTGCTTACAAACATGGTAGTTAACACAAGTGTTATCAGCATCCTCTTCACTTAACTTCACCTTGAGTGTCAGATGATGTGCACAGCGGCAAGACCCACTTGACCACCTACGAGATTTAGAGGTAGGTTCCCAGAACGACCATACTTAGCTCACCCAGTTCTCCTCACAAGAATCTGAAGAAACACTCGTGACAAGAGTGTTTAGGATCACAGCTTGTTTTACAACCACACCTGCCAACACTGCTTTGCCCTTCCACTATGATGAAACACACCAACACGACCTTGATAACTCTATTAAATCAGGTCAAAGTGTTCCTCAGCAGACACCATCATCTCTCATGGCTATCCCTCAAAAAATCCCATAGGAACACCAGGGTACTCACCATATTTTCCAGCAAGGACACTCGGCATTGAACATGACTTGTAGCTGAAAGAGAAAAGGTAAAAACGCATGGTAATTACCCGACCACCCGCAACAAAGCGATAAATCCAGGAAGTGTTAGGTACACAGTCATCTTTTCCTTAAGAACATGAAGATCGGCTGGTCTGTACTGTGGTGTAGGTCCACTTCATCCCTGACCCCAATACCTACAGGATGCCTTCATAACGACTGTGGATAGGCTTCCCGGGATTGGGCTCACTGTGACCTGAAAGACACACTGTGGGAAATGGGTGGCATACACGTCTTCGGCTACCTAGACAACTGCACATTGCCTGGGTCAGTGTTCGACAAACTCATTAGTCATCAGAGCCAAATATCAACAGTACTTCTTCAAAACAGACTCGCCCAGGCTGAAAACCCGATGGCTGCCCATGGGCCACGAAGTTTCAATCGCACTGTATGCGTGTCTCCACGTCGTATTTTGTGGTAAAGCCACACTCAACGGGCCAAAGAGCTGAATGTGGCTTGCGAGCCGCAGTTTGCCTACCATGGGCTTTGGTCAACGGCTTTGGCTAGAGACTCATGACCATGACCTGAATCTTGTAGATGTCGATGACACCTTCTTCTCACCAAGAGATACCTGCAAACATTCCACAGTCATTAATGAGCAGACATATCATGTGAGAAATGAACTGGAAGTCTACCTATCAATCTATCAGTGTGGGGGCAGAAAGGCAATCTCTGACTAGAAGATGGCCAAAGCGCATGCTCACTAGTATTGCTTGGGTCTAGTGGATTCTGAACTGCCTACATCATAAAAACCACTCACTATCGCCCTAACCGGTTTGGCTCAGTGGAAAGGGCGTCGTCCTGCGGACTGAAAGGTCCCAGGTTCAATTTCAGTCAAGGGCATGTACCTTGGTTGCGGGCACATCCCCAGTAGGGAGTGTGCAGGAGGCAGCTGATCAGGTGTTTCTCTTTCATCGATGTTTCTAACTCTATCCCTCTCCCTTCCTCTCTGTAAAAAAATCAATAAAATATATTAAAACAAAACAAACAAAAAAAACACTCACTATGGAGTCCAAAAAACATCATTATCCACATCATTCATGCTCTCATGAGTGACTGTCACAGAATCTCATACCCGAGTACTAGGAAGGACTTCACGGGTCAGCTGCAAAACAATAACACTGTCTTAGCGAAACCATACACACTTACCCAGACATATGAAGGTCAGATGCTGTGTAGGATGCGTAAGGCACAGTTCATCACTTACCCAGATTCAGGCACCATCGTGGCAATGGTCATCATGAAGTTCACCATGGTATCTAGACTGCACCCTGGAAAACACATGATGCCATACGAGTCCAGACTCACACCTTCTAAAAATAGAAACTGCACATAGCCATGTTTGGGCCACCACTGCACACTCCAACTCTACCTGGCATTTCCCAGTTCTCTCAGATCTCTACCACGGCCAAGGACATCTTCATCTGCTGGCTGGTACCGTCAGAGAAAGAAAAGTCAAGTGATTAATGTGACTTAGGAGATCCATGGTAGTTACCCTGATATCTGACAATCGCTCAGCAATCCTGTAGTTGAGTTTACGTTTTGTCTAACATACCAAACTGGAGATTCAATATGGTTGCTAGTACCTGAAGGGTTCCTATAATTTCTTACTGACTCCCAGTAAACAAGTCATGGTAACAATGAGTGTGAGGACACATCACCACCTTTCCGCACATGATAAATGTCCAGTTAACCGCCATGAACTTCAGAGTCATCTCTTCTTCAGAAGACCCTGAAAAACACACAAGATTCCTTTGAAAAGACAGAACTTTGTGTAGCGGGACACCCCAGATTAGCTGCGACACTTCCTTCTACAAGACACCATCAACCCTGCCGGAATACTTCATCGAACTCCAAGATCCGGACCATGGTCAGATATGACACCATTACACCATGGGACGTCTGCAACCTTTCCATGGTTAGTGCTGTGGTTCGGCCTATTATGTTAAGGACCGATATACAGCAATCTCTCATCCCTCGCAGAGATAGAGAGATATGATCTCTAAAATATCACATGAACAACCTGCACCTTGGTAGATTGCTGAGGACCATCATTTCCTACTGAACACCTGCAAAGAAGAGTGCGTCACCTCGATAGTTTTGGAAAAAACATCAGTGTTCACCTAACGATATACAGATCAGAAGGCTCATGCTGTGGTTGGAGCCCACATTACCACTTACCTGCATAACAGCAACAGCCTTCATTCCGGGGCAAACCTTTCCCCACCAGGACACAGGTTAGCAACCTCATCCACTAAGAGAAAATTCAACTCTACCTGGAGACATGTAGTTACCCAGAGTTGACATCACTGTCACAAACGCGTCCCTCTGGGTTGGATACCTGTGAAAACCCTTATGATCAGTACTGCAGGTTGGCAACCAGGATAAGTACCAGCGTGCCTGAATTCCTGGAACATGCACAGTCGCAAAACTTAAACCTTCCCTAACATAGTAAGTATTAAACTCCTACTTAAGAGGATTGGCAAGGAATCCATTTCCTACCTGAATCCCTACAATGGAATCATGGTGACGAGTGTAAGCAGATGACATTACTTACCTAGACATGTGGGCATGACATGGTCTGTGCTGCACTTTTGTAGGGGGCGGAGGGCGGCATGGGTGGTACTGTGGGCAGCCATTACCTCAGTACCACACATACCGCAAACCTCCTCCTACAAACATGTTAGTTAACACAAGTGTTGAGAGCATCCTCTTCACTTAACCTCAGCTTGAGTATCAGATGATGTGAACAGTGGCAGGGCCCACTTGACCACCTACCAGGTTTACAGTCAGGTTCCCAGGATGACCATTGTTAGCTCACCGAGTTCTCCTCAAAAGAATCTGAAGAAACACATGTGACAAAAATATTTAGGATCACAGCTTGTTTTATGACCACAGCTGCCAACAATGCTTTTCACTTCCATTACAATGAAACACACCAACCCGACCTTGATAACTCTATTAAATCAGGTCAAAATCATCCTCAGCAGACACCAGCATCTCTCATCTACTTAAGAGGATTGGCAAGGGATCCATCATTTCTTACCTGAATCCTTGCAATGGAATCATGGTGACGAGTGTAAGCAGATGACATTACTTACCTAGACATGTGGGCATGACATGGTCAGTGATGCGCTTTTGTAGGGGGAGGAGGGTGACATGGCTGCTACTGTGGGCAGCCATTACCTCAGTAGCAGCGATGTCGCCAACCTCCGCCTACAAACAGGGTAGTTAACACAAGTTTTGAGAGCATCCTCTTCACTTAACCTCAGCTTGAGTATCAGATGATGTGCACAGCGGCAGGACCCACATGACCACCTAACAGGTTTCCTGTCAGGTTCCCATAACGACCATTGTTAGTTCATTCAGTTCTCCTCACAAGAATCTGAAGAAACGCATGTGACAAAAGTGTATAGGATCACAACTTGTTTTATGACCACACCTGCCAACAATGCTTTCAACTTCCATTACAATGAAACACACCAACCCGACCTTGATAACTCTATTAAATCAGGTCAAAATCATCCTCAGCAGACACCAGCATCTCTCATGGGTATCCCTCAAAAAATCCCATGGAACGCCAGGGTACTCACCTGATATCATCCAGCCAGGACACTCAGCATTAAACAGGACTTATGTCTGAAAGAGAAAAGGTAAAACACATGGTTATTACCTGACCACCTGCAAAACGCCATGGAACCGGAAAGTGTTAGGTACACAGTCATCGCTGCCTTCGTAACATAAAGCTCGGCTGGTCTGTGCTGTGCTGTATGCCCACTTCATTCTTGATCCCAATACCTACTGGATGCCTGCATAACGACTGTGGAGAGGCTTCCGGGGATGGGCTCACAGTGACCTGAAAGACACACCGTGGAAATTGGGTGGCATACACGTCTTAGCCTACCTAGGAAACTGCATATTGCCTTGGTCAACATCTTTGTTTGGAGACTCAGGACCATTATCTGGATCTTGTAGATGTCGATGACACCTTCTTCTCACCAAGAGATACCTGCAAACATTCCACGGTCATTGATGTGGAGAAGGACCATGAAAGAAATGACCTGGAAATACACCTATCGATCTATTAATATAGGGGCATAAAGGAAATCCGTGAGCAGGGAGATGGCAACAGCCCATGCTCACTAGGATTGCCTGAGTCTAATGGAGTCTGAAGTGCCTACAGGCGCAAAACAGACTCACTATGGAGTCCCAAACACATCATTATTCACATCATTCATGCTCTCATGAGTGACTATCACAGAATCTCATACCCGAGTACTAGGAAGGACTTCTGGGTCTGCTGCAAAACAATAACACAGTCTTAGCGAAACCATACACACTTACCTAGACATCTGAAGGTCAGATGCTGTGTAGGATGCGTAAGGCACAGTTCATCACTTAACCAAATTCAGGCACCATCCGGACGATGGTCATCATGAAGTTCACCAAGGTATCTAGACTGTACCCTGGAAAACAGAGGATGCCATGTGTGTCCAGACTCACACCTTCTAGAAATAGAAACTGCAGATGGAGAAACCAAGTTGGCGGCATAAACACTGGAAATTGCTGCCTCACACAACTACTTTAAAAATACAACGAAAAGACAAAACAGACATCATCCATAACGACAGGAAGGCTGGCTGAGTGGAAATTCTACAACTAGAAGGAAAGAGAAAAGCACACTGAGACTCAGAGGAGGTGCGGAAGTTAAGTGCAGAGGTCCGGAGGCACACGTGGAAAGCGCTGGCAACTGAAGACACGGTTGTCTTTTTCAATCTGGAGGGAGTCTCAAGCTCCCGTCTGCTCTGAACTCCAGTTCCAGGCGAGTCTCTGGGGACCCAGACTCATACGGGGAGAAACTGGACTGTCTGGCATCGGTCGGAACTCGAGGGCGGCTTTCTCTCAGAGATGCTTGCAGTGATTACCAGGACACTGAGACTTGGGACCTCTTAGGGTAGGACTGAGGAGCAGCCATAGCTGTTTGCTCCACCCTATTGATCCCCTGAGACCCTGCCCCACCCAAGCTGTGTGCAGAGGCTTTTGCATATGAAAGGCCTGGCCCTTTGCAATCTGAAAATTACCTAGCAAACTGCAGCTGGGTCAGAGAGACCCAGAACTTCCAAAAGAAAGCCCAAGGCCCCACAGCAGCTTGCATTGCTTCACAGCTGGGCCTCATCTGGGCACCCCCAAACCCCAAACCCCAAACAAAGAGGAGGAATCTGCAGATCTCTCCATACCTCCTGCTGGGTAGCCTCAGGCAGAGGCTAAATTAGCACCTCCTTAGAGATCCAAGAGCCAGTGTACCCAGTGGTCAGAGTGGGACCATCCAGATTACAACTCCTCAGATCCATAAGGGACACACTCAGGGGGCAGACTCAGTGAGCACCAAAGCCCCACTGAAGCAAGTCTTGCCCCAGAAGGGTGTCTCCAGCACAGAAGTTCTCCCACCATA